GAACTTCACATCAATGGACTCATACTGTATGTACTCCCCCCCCTCCAGTTTCTCTTGCTTGACACGTTTCAAGATTCTCCACGTTTTTGCATTTATCAGCAATGTGTTTATTTTTATTTATGAGTAGCATTCCATTGCTTGAGTATATCCATTCTCTTGTGGAGCCATTATTCCCACTGGCTGAGACACACAGGAACACATTTTGGTTGTTTCTACTTTGAAGCCATTATGAATAAAGCTGCTATGAACCTTTTTTGTAGAAGATTTGTGTGGCCAGATACATTCGTTTCTCTTGGTAGGTGTACATGTGTACAGAATTTAAATTCTGTATTATTATTTTTTAAGCACACCTGGGTCTCAAATTCAGGACACCTCCCCCACCCCCTGATGAAGCGTCCCATGGCTCCACCGACTGAGCCAGCCCGGTGCCCCTTTCACCTTTGTTTCTGAAGGACATTTTCTCTGCATAGGGAACTCTAGCTTGGAGGTTATCTTCTTTCAGCACATTTATGGTATTATTTTGCTATCTTTGGCTTCCACTTTTGCTGTGGAAAAAGAATTGCCAACCTAATGGTTGCTCTTTTCAAAGTAATCAATCCTCCTTTTTTCCTATTTTATTTTTAAAAATTTTTAAAGTTTATTTATTTATTTGGAGAGAGAGAAACAGACCAGATGAGTGGGGGAAGGGCAAAGGTAGGGGGAGAGAGACCAAGCAGACTCCACGCTGCCCGTGTAGAGCCTGATGAGGGACTTGAATTCACAAACTGAGAGATCATGACCTGAGCTGAAGCCAAGAGCTGGCTGCTTAACCGACTGAGCTACCAAGACACCCTTTCCTATTTGAAAGATTTAGCCTTTGATTTAATTTCCCACTATTTCACCCCAATAGGTCCCAATATGGATGTTTTTAACCTCACTTGAAGTTTGTTGAACTTCTTGAATCTGTGGCTTAATGTATTCCATCTATTTTTTTAAGTTTCTCAGCCATAATCACTTCAAATATTGCTTCTACCCTGTTTTTTCCCCTCCTTTCGGGGCTCCAAATAAAGGTGTTAGATTTTTTCACAGTATCCTTTCTGTCTCTAACACTCTCTTATGTTTCCCATTTCTGTTTAACCTGTGCTTCACTGTTGGTAGTTTCTCCATTCTTTCTTCCAATGCATTCCTTGCTCCTCAGTTGAGTCTAACTGTTAAACTCATCGATTGATTCTTAATTTTATTCTTTGAATATCTTGGGTGTGAAGTTTCTATTTATTTCTGGTTTACCCAAGTCCAAGGTTTCCCCCAAGAGTGCAGCTTTCGGGACCCTAACCCAAAATAGGAAGGTGGCTTGCCAGGTTTCTCACCTTCAGGGACATTTGGACTACAATTTTTGTCTCACTTGCCCCACACAACGCATTTTCTGCCACCAATTCCAATCAGCAAATGACTCCAGGGCACAAGCAGTCTTACCATTGTCTCACCTCTCAGACTTCCTGTCTTTCACACCCTCAACACCAATAATTCTTCAATGTCTTTCAGTGTTTTGAGTTTTTAAAGCATTTCATCCAAAATTTTTAGTTGTCTTCAGCTCAGGGATCGGGCAGCTGTTTAGTCCACCATTGGAAACAGGGGCTCAATTACTAAATTCGATTTTGAGCATAGTCATTTCTCCTGAGTTTCACTCCACTAACCCAATGGCCCACTGGACACCTCCACTTGGGGATCTATAGGAGCCTCACACCCAATAAACTAAAATGGTTATCATTCCCTTGCGCTTGCTTAGGCAGCACATATCATAAAACTGTCATCACCCCTCAAAAACCTGCTTCTATAGCTCCTCAGCAAATGGGTCAGTGTTACCTAAACCTCGGTTATTTGTATACTGTCTTCTCGAAGTCCAATTGATTCTACTTATAAAATAGCTCTCTATAGTCAACAATACTGTATTATGCACGTAAAAAAGTTGTAAGTGGGATGCCTGGCTGGCTCATGGTAGCACATGTGACTTTTCCTCTTGGGGACGTGAGTTTGAGCCCCATGTTGGGAGTGAGCAGTTTACCTAAAAAAATAAAGGGGGCTTTTTTTTAGGTTTTTAAAAGGGTAGGTCTCGTGTTCTATACACACACACACACACACACACACACACACACACAAGAACACAATGAAATGTTTGGAGGTGATGGATATTACCTTGATATTGTGGTGATGGTTTCACAGGTATATACATGTTCACACTCATCAATTGTATACATTAAATATGTACAGTTTATGCCATATCAATTATACCTCAATAAAACCGTCTTTTTAAAAGTTCCTTCCAACCCTCCAACCCTCCCCCTACATCTCAGGGATGCGAGAGAGGATCTAAGCAGCTGACTCTTGATCTCGGCTCAGGTCTTGATCTCAGTGTCATGTCTTCAAGCCGGCGTTGGGCTCTGCACTGGGTATGAAGCCTACTTTTTTTTTTTTTTTTTAACATTTATTTATTTTTGAGACAGAGAGAGACAGAGCATGAACGGGGGAGGAGCAGAGAGAGAGAGACAGACACAGAATCGGAAGCAGGCTCCAGGCTCTGAGCCATCAGCCCAGAGCCCCACGCGGGGCTCAAACTCACGGACTGAGAGATCGCGAGATCGCGACCTGAGCTGAAGTCGGACGCTTAACCGACTGAGCCACCCAGGCGCCCCTGAAGCCTACTTTAAAAAAAAAAAAGGAAAAAAAAAAAAAGTTCCCGCCCCCCCCCCCCCCCCAAAAAAAAAAGTTTCCCACTCTCCCATCTACCTCTGTAGCCTCTGGAGCTCCCCTGTAAAGGACAAACATATTATGCCTATTATGCAAAAGCTTTCATGACCTGCCTTCTGCTCCCCTTTCTGGCCTCTCCCCAGTCATTCCTAAATGCACACACTTTACATTATGGGCCAGGATCGAAAACATGAACTCCTACAGCAGCCAGGCTGGTAATGCAGACTAGGTAGGAACTATCATGGACTAGAGTCATCTCAAAGAAGGGCCGCAGGCAGGAGTCATCTATTGCTAACTATGATATTTCAAGATAGTGAGAAATCCAAATATTCGTGTGCCATCTGCCGATTTTTTTTTCGATATATATATATATATATATATATATATATATATATTTTTTTTTTTTTTTTTTTTTAAGAAAGCTGTTTGTCCAACATGGGGCTTAAACTCAGGACACGGAGATCAAGAGTTCCGCTCTGCCGAGTGAGCCAGTCGGGCGCACCCCGTCTGCTGCTTTTTAAGTGTCGGCAATGAAGGCAGATATAGAGAGCACGCACGCGGAACAAAACATCCCTGCCATCTGAAGTTGGTCTTTGCTCTAAGACCATCAGAAAAACTGGTCCTAAAATTCTCCAAAACTGCCAGGTATAGAGAATATACTGCTCTCTGCGCAGAATCCCTTGCTCATCATTCCACCCTTGCTGCATTATTTCTCTTTGGAGATTTTCCTGGCCCCGAAGCAAGCTTACGTCCTCAACTGGGGCTTTAGCAATCTCCCCAGCTTCTGTTGCGGTGCTCAGTCATGTTACGTGGTAGCTGTTGGTCCCAAGCACGGCTCCCCCAGGGCACGGCCTATGCACACCCAGCGCGTGGCGGGCGCACCGGGACAGCTGGCGGGTCGGGGACTGGAGAGGGTAGCGGCGCGGCGGCGTCAGTGACCCCTGCTGGCCACGAGAGGGCACACCGACCCCACGGCGCGGGGAAGGCGGCCCGCGCGGTCCAGTGCCCCCCAAACCCTCGCCCCATCCGACGCCCCCACCACCGGGTCCCTTCCAACACCGTCTCCCACCGCCGCCGCGAACCCACCTTCCAGGAGCGGCCCCGGGGTCACTGCCCTCCCTTCCCCCCACCCCAGCCACCAAACGCTCTTCTCCCCCTTCCTGCAGCCTTTTGGGAACTAAAAGGTTAACTCCGCCCTCCCCCTGGGCCCCTTTTCCGCACTAACCCGCTCAATCTGGAAGCTGGGACACGGAGGCGGTCCTGGGTGGACTGGGTCACGGGGACCCTGGGCTCCCTAGTTTAACGCCCTTTCCAGAAACCTGCCACCCTCCCGTCCACCCCCAGACGCACACACATCCGTAGGCTCACACCTTTTCTTGCCAAGATCCCGAACCAACGCAGCTCTCTTCCCCAAACGGAACCAGGTAGGGAGGGAGGAGGCGGGGCGCGAAAGCGTCCCGGCTGCCCCCACTCGAGTCGCCCTTCGGTCCTGCCCCCGACCCCAGCGAGCGAGCCCCTTCGCGGCGCGGCTCCCCGCAGGAGGAAGGCGCGGAGGGTCTCGGAACAGAGCGCGCGGGCAGGTCCGCAACTTCGGGGCGGGGACGAAGGAGTTAAAGGTCCGGGGCTGGCGCTCCCGTCGCCGAGTCTGGGAGGGGAAGCGGCGGGAGGAAGGGCCCGGAGCCTGGCTCGGGTCCTCCCCTGTCCCCCCCCTCCCCCCCGGCAGCCGGGGACTTGAGCCGGCCGGACGCCCCCGCTGGCACCCTCCCGGGGCGGGCGCCCAGGCGCGCACGAAAGCCCGCCGCTCCCCTTCCCCGGCTCGCGCCCTCGCCCACCCCCCTCCCCCGGGCGCTCTCGCTCCTTCCAACACGC